CTGCCGGACGGGACGGGCCCGCTCTGACCCAGGGCTGGCGCCTATGACACGGGTAACAGCACCTTCCCCAGCTGGACCCACTGATGTCGGAGCCCCTTTCCTGGTGTGGAGTGTGGGGGGCGCAGGTGGCTGAACCCCGGGCCAGCAGGAGGGTGAGCTCAGCGCCCCCTCACCTCCAACTCAGAGGCCCTGCTTCCCAGGCCAGGGTTCTGGAACCTCCAAGAAGAAGAATAGGCCTCACCCTAGCTGGTGTGGCTCAGTGGATAGAGCGTTGGCCTGTGGACTGAAGGGTCCTGGGTTTGATTCTGGTCAAGGGAATGTGCCCGGGTTGCGGCCTCGATCCCCAGTGGGGGGCATGCGGGAGGCAGCCGATCAATGATTCTTTCTCATCATTGATGTTTCTCTCCCTCTCCTTTCCTCTCTGAAATCAATAAAAAAATGAAAATGTGAAATATAGATGCACTAGAAGAAGGAACAGGCGTCTCTGTGCAGGGCCCTGTCCGCAGCTGTGTCCTGGGTGCTGCGGGCAGGGAGCAGCCTTGCTCCTCCGAACAGGAACCCGGCTGCGCCTCGATGTCCCCGGGAGGCCCGTGGTCCCAGGTCGGGGCTGTGCTGAGGTCAGTGGCTCATCTCTCCAGGTGCCCGAGCCGTGGCCCTTCACGCAGGTGCTGTCCCAGCCTGTGCCCTGGGGCACCAGCCCTCCATCTGCCTTTCCAGCTCCCCAAGCTGCCACCCACAGCCCCCCCCCACAGCCCCGGGGCAGGCAGACAGGAGGCTCATTCAGGCCCCACGCCCAGGGAGGCTGCGGGGGGTAATTAGCCCTGGGTGGGGGGTAATTATCCAGCTGATAATCATGGGCTGACCCACTCCCTCCCCAGGCCTCGTTTCCGGCGGCCTTGCTGCCACCGCAGATGCTCACAGCCACACAGCCGGGCCATCAGGTGGGGCACAGCGGGGCTGAGAGGGGAGCCACCCCTGCATCTTCCTGGTTTCAGCCCTGAGAGTCCCGCCTCCGAGGAATTCCTTTTGCCCTCGGAAAACAGGACCCTTGAGACACCCCTGAACCTCAGGCCCCTGCTCAGCCCAGCGTTCCGCAGCCTCGGCCTGTCACTGGGTGCCTCACCCCCACAAGGACTAGGCTGACCAGAAACGGGGCCCAAAGGGACACAGAGGTCTGCACGTCGGGCTGGCCAGGGCAGCGCGAGGCCTCAGCCTCCGTCCCTGCAGCCCCCCTTCCACAGGCCCCTGGGTGCAGC